CCGGCGGACGCCTCATCTTCAGGGTGTCCTGTAGACACGCCTGAAGTCAGGCAGGGCCCAGGACCATTGTCCTCCCCCCGTGGCTTCGGAGGACTGGTCGGTTCACCTCTTTGGTAATGGTAAACAGAGTGTATTATTATGATCAGACTTCAATAGAGGCCCCCCTGATGGGATAACAAGGGGGTACCATTCACATCTCCAACTACCATATCTGGGCCCCTAGCAGAGTCCCCAGGAAAGTCTTTCCACCACCGCCTGCCCGTCGCGGGGCTGAGCCATCGCGCGCCTCCAGCGCTACACCGCTGCGAAGAACGCCTAAATAGGCCCAAATCGGGCGATTCCCCCCGACATCCCGTAGAGTCTACGCCGGGTTGTTCCTTTTCGGCGGAGAACGTCAACGTCGAGTTACATCATCACCCATTCTATTCTCGGCGGGCCTTTTCTCCTTCTTCGCGAACGTAATCAAGCGCTGAGGCCACACCAGCAGCCGCAGCATACAGTCGTACGCGTGTGACATATCTCCAGCCCACAGTTTAAGTTTGAACGCTAAGTGAGCCTACAAACAGCAGGCTGAGCATACACACACGCACACGCACGTCAACGCACACGCACGACCAAGTCGATGTACGTACGTGACATATTTGACTCCTTACGCGCCAAAAGTATACCCCGCGTAGGAGACGAGATTAATGATGTTCTCTATCTGGGAGTATTGTGTTGATCATGATGATGGTTGAATTAGACCGAAATGAAATGTTGAATGGGTATATGATAGTATCTATCTGCAGAGGGTAGCCGGAGGCGTCTGTATGTTGCCTATACTCTGTGCTGAAGAACGTGGACGTGCGCATGTATGTATATCAGGCAAGGCGATGTCTAGCAGCTGTTTAGTACTTATGCATGTATTTTCCTGTGTGTCAAATATGCACGTATTAGTACAGCACTCTTCGCATTTTCGAGGAATTTGGCCTTTGTTTTCACAGGAGAGATAGAATACATCTATCTGCGCACCGACATACTTCATGGTTGGATTCGGCATGTAGGCTTTTCATTCGCACACTATTTCAATGTGGACACCGCAACAATATACAGCAGAAATGCATGCAGCATGCATGTGACATGTATATCATGTACACTACATGCGCTTTTTTTACTCTAAGCTGTTGTGTACACATTCGACCCACACGACGCATCTCACGGCAACCACGTGCGTGCATGCACAGCAGCATCCACGAGGAGAGAGAACATGCAGCAATCTCTACTGGAACGTTGGTGGTCTATATCCGTGAACGATGAACCACTTACTGGAACTTTGGTGGTCTCTGAGGAAAGTCACCAGCAGCAGCAGTGCGTCATCTTCGTTGGTTGAAAAACGGGGTAAGTTCGTTAGTGTAGTGCGTTGGGGGTGAACATAGATTTTTTCACCGAATGAGCACCATTTTCCTCATCACAACTTCTATGCATACTAACAACCAACAACCTCACTCCCCCTTCCACTGCTGCTGCCCTCAACATCGACTTCTCCACCCAGCGTTCCACCACCCCCACCCAAATAAGAACGATAAACGGCTCCTGCCACCATCCCACGGCATGCATCATACGACGCAACTACTACTACTTTGTTTTCTCTGAGGATGACGCGGGTATGGAGTAGCGGCTGTTGCCATCATGCCTTGGCTTGCGGCGTACGACACAAAAACACGAATGTCTGAAAACGTGGGGGCCTTAAGCTTTGTTTTTCTACGAAAATAATACCCCTCACAGCAGTAGTTCCCAACAAACAACGTCTGTTTCAAAAATCGAAGACGAACCTTTCTCGACTGACTCCAAATTTTTCGAGCGTTCAGTGGAAGTTTTTGCTTATTGATAACTTCGTTCGTGTTCTCATGTATTTTGAGACTGCCGTACTGTAGCAGATTATGGGGATTTCCTAATTTTACACGAACGAGAGCTTTCAACCTCCCCGGCTTTTTCACGGTTGTTTGGTTGCTGCAAGTGGGCGCCCTTTCCGCGGCTAGTGCGTATCATCCAAACCACCACTAGATGATGTTGAACGTAAAATTTCCAAGGAATTTCCTTTTTACTACACTCAAGAGTCTACTCTCTCTCTCTCTCTGGGTTTATGTGCCTGGGAAAATTCACGTGTGTTTATTCATTTGTTTGTTTCTCTGTGAGTTGGCGTCCTTTTCGCAGGGAAATGTGTCTCAATGCTGCTGCTTTGATCCCTTCACTTTCCCGTCTATTTACACCATATAGTTTTAGTGTTCATTTCCTCGCACCTCCTGTGTGCTGTGCCCTGCATCTTCTGTTGGGTTTAATCATCACTGGAGTTATTTACTTCACAATCAATGGCTCCTCCTACCACCATCCCAATGCCTCTTTTACCACAAAATGATTGATTATGTCCGCCAACGCCGACGCCACCGCATCGGTCTGGCTATCACCCCTTGTCATGCGGCATACAACCGAAAATACTTCCGTCTGGGGAAATTGGCCCCCAACACTTCCGTCTGAGGCCGCGAGGGGCCGATAGGCCCCCGCGGCGGGAGTACTTGTAGACTCAACTGCAACTATGTTGGAGCCCTGAAACGCAAGACTTCAACCAGTGTTGCACTCTGAAAGCAGGACGATATTTTTCCGTGCATTAGTCTGCGGTCGCCGTTACACTAATTTTCGACGGTCTTCACCTGCTTGGAGCGGGCCAGTTGCCCGATCACAACGCCCGGGAGCTCGAAACTCCAAATGCGAGTGGAGTTACAGCGCTATGAATGCACGCATGATTTCAGTCATTAGCTACGTATGTCGCGAGGTAAATCGGTTTTATTGATGGGTTTGAAACGGTGTTCAAACACTTTTTTCGGCTGTCTTCGCCGACCTGACCGTGCATATCACGATCACAACGCCCCCTGTCGCAAGCTCGAGACTCTAAGGGTGCGCCGAGTTACAGCACCGTGAATTACACGTCAATCTCCTACAACCGGGGCAAATCTCCGCACGGTGCGCACAGCACTGTCACCTCTAAAGAATCTCACATCCGGTTGGGCAAGACTTTTTTGGGAGAACGTCAATCAACCATGACCGACCATGTACACAGTAGTGCGGACCCACACTCAAACCGAAATTCCCGATATGATCCGCCTCCGATAATCTGCAATTTCCGACAATATATTCAACACAAAAGAAGAGAATGGTGCGGACGGACCTGATCGAAACATGGCGACGTTACAAGCAGTAGTAGTGCGAACCCACAAAAATGAATATTATTTCATCTCACATTCTACAATTCATTGGTGTTGCTGCAACATGTCGCTACATAACCATAACGGCAGCAGTATCGGTCATGGTGCCAACCCACCTGACTGAATCTATTTGCAACACAGCAGTAGGACGATACGGTGTAGTGCGGACCCAAACTCTATTTGCAACACAGCAGTACCAAATTCAAGAACAAAAATCCCGAAAATATTCCGCCTCCGATAATCTGCAATTTCCGAAAAAATATCAACACAGAATGGTGCGGACCTGATCGAAACACGACGCCATAGCAGCAGAAGAAGTGTGGATCCACAATAACATGAATTTCGTATCACATTCAACTGAAACACAACAGACTCCAGCAGGGTCATGGCGGGAACCCACCTGAATCTATATTTTTCAATACAAGTCGCAAGCATGGTCTCCTCGGCACCACAACCCACCCCACACACCCTGCCTAGAGCCAGCTTCGTGGTCTTGGTATGCTGCGCACAATCTTCACCCACCACCCTTCATTTCCACCCATTCTTTCAGCCCAACCAAACCCCTGACGGCGAGGGTACCAGTGGCGCCCGAGCCTGGAGACCTTGAAAGACACACAACGACGGACGTTCTCAAAACCCGACACAAGCTTATGCATCAAACTTGCCGGAGGGGCGGACGAGACCAGGAGGGACACCTCTTCCAACAAACGCACACGACAATCTGTCTATGGAATCTCGAGAAACATCGCCCGAAGAAAAAAAGATATTGCTTTTAGAGAAGAGACCGGAGATTGCCTACTCTAAACCTAAGTGAAATGAAACACAGAGAGCGGGGTCACTTTTTTGGAGTCACCTTTTTGGAGTCATTTTTTGGAGTCACTTATTGTGGGATCAAAATCGAGGTTTGAGAATTTCCGCGACAGAAAATTGAAGCCTTCGGGCTTAGAATTCCAAACTGGAACTGGTTGAAATTCCAAACTGGGAATGGTGAAATTGCTTTCAATCCGAGGCATACTCTGTGCACACTCTAGCTGCCCAAACTTGGCTCCGAGAAGCTCAAAGCACGTGGAGTGTACGTACAGCCTTTGACGGCTTGATAACAAGCAGGCGTGTGTGAGGCGAGGACAAAGTGACGAAGTGCCTTGGTGCGCTCTGCTTGCTACATCAAGTACGCAAAACTCCTGCTTTTTGGGGGTGGTTGAGCATCTTAAGTCCATCCCCCGGATTCAAACTGGCGTAACCCTCTCATTTGCATGTGAAGTGCCAGCGAGCCTCAAATGCCTCAATAGGTGCCGGGACCACGGGCCTCCCGGTAGGTATACCGGCACCACGGCCCTCTTTATCGTGTGGCCGGTGCCCAGTATAATACCGGTGAATCCGGAGGGCACGTTCCGGCACTTGAGGGACTACGACTTTCGTCATAAAGAAATTGAGGGTAATGTGGACGCAAGATAGCAGCGACTTGCGGAAGAGCAAGAGTGGGTCACTTGCTCCGATCCAGTCTGACGACAAGCAAATGTCGTATCGTCAAGTCACCACAGGAGGGCTCCAAAGTATCCAACAGCAGACAACTCGGCTTGATGTGCCGCGTTTCAAGTCATAATCTCTCCATGTGTGTGCACGCCGAGAACACACGTCGGGGGCTTTGATGTATCATCAACCCACGTGCCGCTTCATTCGTCTAGATTGGGATTCGACTCCTCGACAACACGTACGCAGCCTTACACTAGCTGCGCATAGAATAGAGCCTACAGGTGTCTTCAACCACATCAGAGTGTAGGAAAGCACAGCAGGCTGCCTCTTCAGTCAGTATCGGGATAAATCAGATCATCTTTTCGAAGACGCCGCGGAGAGATGACTGATTGCGATGATCCCGTATGGACTCCTGGAAGACCGATCGAGTGTTGGTGTGGAGGTCCATGAGTCCGTCCACACCAGGTCCCCAACCAGCACGATGGTGTATGTTTCATTCCGACTCCACCCCGAACAAAATTCGTGAAGCGCTGTTCTTGCCTGCCTCGTTGAAGAGAAAATACTGTAGAAATGTGGGCATGGGAGCGCGGTAACGGCGGAAATATCAGATTGGTTCGAGCATCCCTATGGATGTGGTCACCAGACAAAACAGTTTGTTTGTTCGTTGATACAGTAGTAAGGAGCAAGCAACAGAAAAATGTATCCCACCTGCCCGACATATTAGTACAGGGTGCGTTCTCGCTGACAACTACTTTGTATCTTATATCATGTCACCAGTCGTGCACAAGGTATATAGTGCTTTTTTATTGGTCCTGTGGACGTATCAGGTAGTAGTTCTAGCTTGTGCAGTTTCATTATTATTTTCTTTCCAACGGTTGTTGTACATCGGATTCGTGATACAGAGTAACGCCAACGGGATGCCACACCAAGTTTTGAAAAATTGGTCAGATAGACCACTCACTCTACACGCGGACGAAGCAGGGGATGTTGATCTCGCTTGCGGCATTGTCCGATTAAGACCCTCCCCCTTGCCGGCTGCAATACGTCTATAGCCCTCTAGAGGTGGCCAAGACCACCAGCGCAAGAGTCTACGCAAGGAATAACCAAAATTCTGTCCTCTCTGCATTTAAAAGAGATCTCCAACCGGAGGTTGCCTCAAGCGAGGCCAGCATCCTACTTCTCCGTCTGCGTGTAGCAGGTTCTCTTATTGAGGACAATAACAAAACGTAGTGCTGTTTACTCGGCTGGATCACACGAACCTCAATTGAATCCCATTCAACACAATCCATCACACTATCGCAATAAAGAAAAAATTCGTTCCGACCGACATGCAGAAAATACCAGCCATTTCTTCCAAGTCAGACCTGACACAAAAGTAAGTAGTAGGCCAGAGTGGGAAAGTGGTAGGTCGGAGTGGTTTCCCGTCTCGCAGGTTAAAAGAATGGCGTGACTGGGTAAATGATGGAGAGAGAGACAACTGCATGATAAAATACACTGATGAACCAGCCCCCTTGGTCAAGAGGGGAAAGTCACTTCACTGGCCCCAGACTCTGCTTGAATGCAGGCGTATCTGCATGTGCTGGAAAACCCAAGATTGTTAGCCGAACGCGTTAGAGCAAACAGGGCACAAGTAGGCTGCCGAAATAGATAAGTCCCTGGCAGGGTCAATGGGGAGCGGGAAAAAAAGGCGGAGAGGATATGACAGCATTCATTTTTCGAGTTCAAATATGGGTCATACGTCAAGAATGAAACACAGAAATCGGTCCAAGACTTCCTTGCGTCACCCCCATCACTTGACATCGCGCGTTGGTGCAAGAGCACGACGGACGCAGCAAGCGACTCTAACGACGAAACTAGTCACGAATCACTGAATATAGCATCAAGGACTTTCGACAAGATGTCCAAAAGGCGGCACTGCAGCCTTTCAACCCATCAACCCAATACCTGGTATTCTTTGGGAGAGAAGACATCTTCTTCGACCATAGTAAAGTTGGATCGATCGTCCATCCTCTTCTTCACCGCACCAGAGGAGCTCGGCTGTTTTTCGCGAGACCTTGAAGGGGCGGATTTCACCGCACCATCCTAAAGCAGAGCCAAAGTATAAGGAAACAGGGAAATGAGCAAATAGCCTGAAATGGCTTTTAGCTAGCTTTGTATGCACATCAACCTGCTCACCCTATCCGTTCTATCTAGCTCTTCCAATCTTTCGCGGCAAAAAGCATGTCGGTGAGTCGGCTTCCGCCTTGCCTACTCGTAAACGGGACGACGTGTGGTTATTCTCCATGTAGCATTGAAACAAGATGACCTTTCAGATTCATGTTCTCGCCGGTATCTCCAGTCGTACAATACTACGGTCGAATCCGAGAGAGTTCAAACAGCAGATTCAGAGATATAAAATTGCCCCCCATAACAGAAACGAAGGATTTTTTTTTTCTTATTGAAGATGGTATCATAACACCAATAAGGAACCGTCACGAGTTGCGCGTCGAAGAAGGCGCTAATTGATGGTACCTTGGACTTCCTGGAAAAGAAAAAAAAAACAGAACAAAGAACTCGTAGCAACCTTGTCACAACACCACCGCTCACCTTGGAAAAATATGAGCAATACAGGTCCATGCTCTCCTCTGTTGCGAACGTGCTGGTTCTGCTTTGCAAGGCCTCCAAACCCAGCACCTCCTCGAGATGGGCTTGCTCTTGCTCTTCCTGTAAGTGCAAAGAATCACATCCCATTGGCCGAACACCAAAGCCTCAATATTGGCAAGGTGAAAACGCCAAGCTGTCATTCGGGTTTCGGAGTTGCATCCTGATCGAGAAATTATCAGCCCTGTTGCGTCGGGGAACTATTGGGTAGCTCGACATCCACGTGCCATACAGCAACAATCCAAGAGTTGTTCGAAGAAATGCGTAGCATTCTTGCCGATACTCATTTTCTCCTAGGGCGTGTCTTAACTGCACTTTTCTGGACAGGGAACGGGAACAGGAAACTCGGAGTTCCCTGTTCCCTGTTCCATGTCGTTGTGTCCTAACATACACAGCACTTCCAGGAACACGGAACATTTCAGCGCGCGCGTGCAGTCCGCCGCAGGTACTCAATGGAACCTCAAAGGAAACAAACACAATCATTGGATGCAGAAAGACCAGTGGGGGGTAGAGGAAGGGGGAGTGGTGTAGGTTTTGAAGGAAGTTGTTGAGGAGCGCACACCAAACACACGTGCTAGGTATCGGTTAGAACAGGCGGTGCTCGTCATGCAATCCGCACCCTCGACAGTGCTTTGGCAGACTTGATTATTGAGTTGCGGTTCACCGCAGCTTACCGGTTCTTTGCCATGTTATGTTCCCCCATACAACGGCTACACGAGCATCCCCCGCAGTTTTTGTGCATGCGAGACACCTGATGATGGTGGCAATGCCTATACGGCTTGAACCGGTAGCATGCAGTACCTGTGGTAGCCACATGCCCGAGAGTGATCACACACATCCCACCAGGTCCTGAATTGCCACCGAAGGGCCCGTGTTCCACGGTTCCTATGGTCTGTTGGCTAATTTTCATGAACTTGCACATTATGAACTTGTACAATAAAATTACGGTGCGGCGTAACTACCTCAAACAGGGAACGTGCGTGGCATTTCTTGTTTCCAGGAAAATTATTTTTGTGTGGCTGGCTGGCCAATCAGACAATAATTCCGAGTTCCCTGTTCCTGGTCCAAAAAAGTGCAGTTGAGACACGCCCTAAGCCTTGAAAAGCGGAGAGAACAGGATGTGTCCAAGCGTAGTGATGTTCACTCGATTGTGGCAGAGTAGCGGCCGTGTTCATATCGAAGATTGACAAATCTCTCCGCTTACGTGTCTCAATCTACGCATGGAACACATAAATAACGTCAACCGTAACCTCGTTTGCGTGATTAGTTGGATTGCCGTGGTTGCATTTCATCAGGCATAGATCTCGTGCCTCAATCTGAACAACGAAAATGATGCCAGAAAATTGCTGTTTGATTGAATGGTCGTGACCCGCATGGATGCCGACGACTGCTGTGAGCCTCCGCTCCTTGTCGAATGTGCCGTAACAACAAAGCTGAAAATTAACCCACCGCCACGGGCAAGGTACACAACGTGCAGAGCCGTTTCTCACAACAGAAGCTGAACTGTGAGTCTCGTATGGATGCTACCCACACCAGAAAGCAACTATTCTCACATGTTCGAGGCGCCGGCGGATTTGGTTGACGACACCGTCCACGTTGATGCCCGAGTGCTGAAGGTGCGCTTGAGTTAATTCCCAACCCTCCTCCAAGTCAAGATTACGTTGAGTTGCCCACCCAAGCTGTTGCACTTGCCGCACAACTGCTGCCGCTACTCGTCGTGCAGAAATGTCCTAATTGGGCAGGCAAGGCATTCCTCGGTGGAGATACGCTTTGTAACTCGACATGGACGAAAACGTTTTTTCGTGCGTGACTGGAGTAATGCAGTGCACCCATATTCTGAGACGCTATCAACGTTCACGTGAATCACAGCATTCTCTACGCCCGGCAGACCAACTTTGCCAACGCTCTTGTTGGAATAGGTGTTGTTTCAAGCGAGAACAGAAACGAAACATAGAGCAGGTGACGTCGAACGACGTCTATACATCATTGCAGCACGGGCGTTTTTAAGTTCCACATACCAGCGTGTCAATGCCCTACCTTGCGTAGCCCTTCGTACGGTTCGACCGTGAGCGTTGCTCCACAGTGGTGCTCCTCCGCCAACTTCTGCAACGCCAGGGCACCCGCGGCGGTATCTGTGGCTAGCGTGAAATCTGCCAAATAAGAAGCTAACTCCGTCTGCGCACCGGACAAGTAATCGTGGGGAGTTCTCACGTTACTTTACATCGCGCACAACTTCGCTTTGCGTGCGAGTGGCCCAAGCCGTACCCACGCAAAAAAGTCCACGCAAAATATACACGCTGCTAAGTGTATTCGAACGGAAGCGAAGAATATAGTAACTGAAAAGGCTCCATGAAACATGCTTCAATCTATATGCAATCGGGAGAAAATAAGCGTGAACCCAGAACAAGTATTCTCGATTTTACGAGAGACAGACACTATCCACCGTGATAACGCACGGGCATCGTGAGGACCAGTCCACTAGACAGTGGTCCGGCGCATCAATAGAATCGTAACAAATGGTATCCTGATGAGCACATACCTCGTTCTCAGGGTCGACGAGAAGACTCATGTCGTTCGAAAAGGCCGCATAAGATGCCAACTCTGTGTCGGCATCCTCTTCCGCAAGCGGCGACCCAATGTAAGCCTGCAATAGCAGAGACGCTTCGTAGGTTGGAGCAAAGTCAACTTCCGAACATAAACACGTCGACGTGTAGCGTAGAATGGCGGGGTGAGGCGTCACTAGGGAACCGGGTTGGCGCTCTCTAATCTAAGTGCATCATATCTTCATAATATTACCACAGCAATGGGGGCCCAGCGCTGTTGTACCCAAAGAGTTGCAATCGCATTGTGAAACCGCTCCAACCATATAAATGAAGATATATGGCACGAATGACAGCGCTTTGCCACTCACCACGTCACGAACGCCCCACATTGGGCCTTCTCGCGTGTCTGGCTCGCGATCTGCGTGAACGGACTCCGTCGGCCTGCTTGAGGTAAGCACGCCGCGCTGTGGTCGACCGAGCATACTTCGTGCCTTGACAGATATGTCTCGTACGTACCGCCCGATGGTGACGCTCTGATCTCCACGCCGTGGTTCCTTCTGCGTTTCAAGAGCAATCACCATCGCCACCACGCGATTGCGGACAAAACGTCAGCGCGAGCAATAAGAGGTGCTTTATCACCGGTGAGCCAGTCACAAGGGCAGAGCGTGGGTATTGTTGTGCCGCTGTTAGTCGTGGCGAAAAATCATCTTGGGGAAACCAAGGGAATCCTCCTACGCAACACTTCTGTGGACGGCTGTGTAATGCCAACAACCACACATCACTCACAGAACGGTCGGGCACGTGGTACAAAAGAAACGTATGCATACCTAGCTTTCTGCATTCAGGCCACCCTCGGTCTGCGACTACATGTACAGACTGGTTCAAGATTGTTTGGGTTTTGCAAAGCAGGCAACCTGTTGCATACGCCTGCAAATACAGCACAACGTCCAGGACGTCAGCACAAATCAGATTTGATCAGCGGCCGAAGCATTGTCTTCCACGCTCAACCAGTAAAAGAGCGAAAGCGTGATGCACGGTAGTCCACCCTTCCACCTCACCGCGGGTTTCTGGAAAACGGAGCGGCTTGGAATCTTCTCCTCCACGGTCGATAAGGTACCTGTTAGCGACAGAAATTGCAGCAAGAAGGAGGGGGCGACAAGGGTATCAACGAACGCCCGGTGCTTCAGCTGGATGGATAATCATCAGAAACGGCAACTCGTTCGAAAAAACAACCGTGAAATTCAGGGGCACCTGCTGAAGGACGCCCGCCTCCTCCACTGGCTTTCCTTCCAGGGTTCGCCGGAACCGGAACCGCAAACTCGTGCGAGAACCATTTCTCGAACATCGTGAGGCGCTCCGGCTGCATGAATGGATGGATACGTCGATTGATTCGGGGTAAGTGGAGCGAGGGTGATTCGTAGGCACACGGGCAAAAAGGGGAGATGGAAATGGGAGAGGCCGGTATCCAGCAGTCATCACCTCGTGTATTCGAATGAAGCGTTCTGGAAGTTGTCCTTGTTTTGGTGGGCCGAGGTGCATCCACATCCGTTGCTGAGCGTACCGCTGCAATGCATCTCGCCACCACTGGCTTGTGGCAGCCCGTTGTCGAGCGCACATCCGGCGCACGCGGCGGCGCTTCAGCTGCATCTCTGCTATGCGGTCTTCATCTATCATCCCACTCAAGGTTGTCGCTGCTGAAAGGGCGTTCGCCCCACTCTCGTTGCTGTCACCAGTTGGTTCCTGAAACAGTACGTAAAAGACAACCGTCGGTAGCGGTGAATTAAGCTCAAAAACATGGTCAGAGATAAAAAAAAAATGTAGACAACCGTGAAATCATCTAGACGTTGCACCTGCCTGGACATCGAAAGCGGCAGCCATCATTTCGACCACCACACGCGGGCGGGTTTACCTCGTCCTGGTCCAAGAAGTAGTGGTCTTTCTTGTACTCTCTCATGCTCTGGAGACCAGCGTTCTCAGCGTGAAAGTTGTGCAAATAGTAGTCTGTGTCGAGCTCCCACAACGGCTTGCCGGTGGTGGTTGGGACGTAGTATCCCAGGAAGAGGTTGATGGCGTCTTGCTTGGCACGATCTGTGAAGGCGTTGCTGTAGTATCGACGGATCGACGTAAGCAACTCGCGGTGCTTGTTCATAGACCCCACCTAAATTTCGGGGGAGAAGGTGAATCTCACGTGAAAGTTCAAACATGTGACTGTTGTTATTCTGTTATCAGTAAACAAGGCACCTAGTTCAGGTCCGTCACAACAGATTTCAACACGTCGTCATTGTCCGAACGACCAGCAATTAGCTTCGGCGAAACGGGTTACATTCAGCCCGTGCAATGCGGTACAGACGACACAAAATAACTTCCTCACCTGCTTGCCTGGTCCGTTGCCCCTCGACACTTTTTTGTGTGCTTCGGAACCTCCGTATTGAAGAGCAATGTTGTCTCCGAGCTCGCTGTAGAGCTCCATGAACACCAACGCGACCTGTACGAGCACGCACCCATACGTGCCTGAGTTTTCACAAGCATAGGTTCAACGGACAAGTTATCTTATCTCAACTATCTTGGCACGTGGACTGGTCCTGAGTACACTACGGGGTATGAGACGGCAAGACTCGAAAGCACTAAGAACGAGAGAAATACATCTTACCTGAGATCCAGACTCCAACGACACTTGGTTGCTGACGCCCATGACGTAAAGCTGTTTGGCGAGTGCGTGTACACCAATGCTAAACTGACCAACATTTGTCCTGTCCAAGCAATCGATGCAGTTCGTGCGGAGGACCCCTTGCTGCTCCATCGGCATCACGGGGAGTCCTTGGCCCCAAGGTGGTGGTAATAGACCAGAAGGATCTCCAGAGGGTCGTTTCGGGATAGAACTGTCCACTCCCGCGTTCGGTTCGCCACTTTTAGCGTGCAGCATTGCCTCCCCTTGCCCGTTGACTTCGTGGAGACTTTGTGGCGCTTCCGGTGCGTTGCGGGTTCTTGCCAAACCGCCTTGGGAATAGCTTTGGGCTCGCCTGAGTGATGGCAACTCGCCTCCCCCGGTGGTGCCCTGGTCTTTCGACAGCAGTTCTCTGCGAGGAGCGCTTTGGGACCAAGAAGATACAGAAAAATGGGGGGAAAGCACGGCAGTAGAGGCGAGGGGGCGGGTTCTTGATTCCGATTCACCGCTCGCAGAGCCCGTTGACCTATGAACAGCGAAATACTGCAAGTGACAACTGAAGCCGTAAAAAACTCCCCCCTCAATCAAGTGCCAACAATAGATCAACAACGAGAGACAAAACCAATAATACCGCGATCTCGCTTGCCTGCAAAAAAAACCGACTTGCCCCACAGTCCAAGCTGCAACTTCTTCCAGCGCCTTCAGAACGTTCATGTCTCGGTGTTTGCTCAAATGAGAAAAATCCAAGGCGCAGTACCTGATCTTGTGCTCCTGCAATAGAATGATCGAGGAGCAATAACGTTTCTCGTCAGTTCATCATGTCAACAAAGTCATGTCAAGCACCGTACCCATTGCAGACTCGTTCACACACCCAAAAGACCCTCAAACGCCGGCACCTTTGACGAGGAAGGAGGTTTCAACGTGCCTAATGATCTTCTGAACACCCAACACCTGCAGTAGCCCTACTTGAAAAGCATGCCCGATGACGAAACAACTGCTCTCTCCTCGAGAGAAAAAAAAAAAACAGTCAACGCCCATGCTGCACAACAAGACGTGTACCAAGATTCAAACTTTCGAATCGGTGATGCCGCATGTCCAACATGCACGAACTGCTTAGAAAAAGCTAAACTTGTCTCACATTGGCCAAACCCCAAATGAATTCCATATGTATGGATAGAAATGTGCGAACATGCTTCCCACTGTGCCCCGTCAGCGCCACGTAGCACATACCATGGTGTGAACGAAATATTCGTGACAAAGAGTTGCCCAAGAAGATATTGACTTGTAAGGGGAACATGCACCAATTTGAAACGCCATTACGTTGAAAAACAGAACCAAACTTGGTAACCAAATAACAGTCGTAGGACTAGCGTGCACATCAACTCCTTCGCCCCCCCTCCCTCTACTACACGATGCAGTTCAATCGCGGGGTCCACGACAACAGATCGATCCTCTTTACTGTTTACCACATCACCCATACATAGCCTGTCTTGCATCCGGTCATGTCGAGTCTCTCCGCCGCACAACATGTCGTGCCCAGAGCACGCCATTGTCTAAGAGTGGCCAACATGTGGGTGGGGTGCTTGTCGTACATCGACAGGGTGACTCTGCACCGAAAATACGAAGATACCAAGTTGCTTTCAAGAGCTGTTTCTTCCTAAGAAGTAAAACTGGTCTTAACATGCCCTGCGTGCGAAGGCAGCATGTATAGAAGCAAGGACCATGCCAATTCGGTCCGAGCACACTCGACCGACCCACAGATTACCGTACCTCGTTCTCGAACCACAATAACATCAACATCGACACTGACGGAACGACGAACAATTATACCATGGCGGAAGCAAGGTTGTTCTCACCGACGGCATGGTGGAGTTGACATGTTCAACTGCCCGGCGATATTCCCTGCCCACGATGACCTCCCGTTCTCTCCTCTCCGTCTGCTTGACTAGGTCAAGGACCAGGACAGGCGAGCCATATCTCTCTAAAAGATCCGCGAAGTGATCCTAAGAACCGATAGACGCGAAAACAATGACAGAAAGTCCAGCGTTAGCTCATTCACAACAACGTTGACCAGATACTTTGAAGACTGACATCGCTTTTCCATAGGAGCGCAATATTTTTGGCAGGTATTATATCCTTCATGCCCTGAAATGTTGACAGCATGTGATGCAATCCTAGGAAGCCCATTGCATAGCTTCCAGGATGCGCGGGGCAGGATTCATGAAGGCAGCCGTCTCATCTGACAAGCTCGTAGACATTTGCGAATGCACATTAGCGTATTTTTATTACTCTTGACACCTAACTAGTGTCGTGTTTGATTCGTGCTCAGGAATCCAACAGTGAGTACATGACGTTCAATGTAGCATGCAGTTCTAAAGAGGAAAAAGTATAGCGGTCGCTCGCCTGTCTAGCATACTCACACAGAAGTTCAGGTTCTAGTCTCGCGACGCACTAAAAAAAAACAACGGAGTACAGCACGAGAGTGCCTGCGCTTCAATTCGTACGTCATTGAGCCCGTGGGACACAACGCCCTCACGCTAACCTTGATCAACATGAAACACAGAGTAATCAAGTACCCAGGTGACCGGTGGATATGAAGCTACCAGTAACCCCTCCAGTTCGTACTCGTCTACGCCTCCTGCACCACATATGGCCACAACCCACGCATTGTGAAGCAAGCCTACAATACAGAGGGTCGAGCAACTTTCTAAGCATCGTGTTTGTCTGTATACTTGCAGGTTGGGATAAACGAAAATTCGCCACCAAAACTATGGCAGTGGTGCCTTGAAAATGTACACAGGGAGCAGTGAACAATCACCAGTGATAAAAAGACAAGCTACCGTAGAATCTTTAATGAAAAAAAACGTTTCCCTTGCCCTCTGTAAGTCTCGTCTCACACGGGCGCTCAAGCTTTGATAAGTTTTACGGTAGAGGAACGTGCCGTTTGGTAGGCCGAAATTAAAAAGATAATGGCAAACGAGATACAAAAGTGTCTGATGATGACGTGTGGCTAAATCATGTGCGGAAGCAAACCTGCAACAGACACACAAGTCAATCATCCCACATAACAAAATGAAGTGGGTACGTGTAAAAATGCCGCAAAATGTTTGAGCGGCCTGTTTCATTTGGGAAACATGCTCGTGTGCGTGGTGCTGTCTGTGCACACGGTCGAGAAAAGGAAAAAGGTATCGTGCACGCAAGTGATACTAACTCAGAGGCCACGCGACGACCTACTCTCCCTGATTTCGAATCACGGAAGACCGAACAAGCACAGGAATACGGCACCTGTCTCGTAGGGGGTGCGCTCAACAAATGTACATTCTTTGCTGCTTCATAGGACACAAAACCAACACGAAATGATGTATCATCACACAGGAAATACTGTTTGCAGAGGCTTGCGTGAGCACAGCGTCCTCATCCTTAGCTCACCTGAGTGGCAGAGTACATAGGGTCAACACGACTGTTGACGATGGGGGGCTTGGGGATTGAAATGCTGCTCTCTTGTGTCCAGAACGTCGGAATGGATCCTCGCATTTGCAAGAACGAAGAGAACACGCCCTCCTTGATCCCCTCCGCATGTGCGATCTGGAGCACGGAATATCAAACGTTCGTGTACAAATCCAAACAGGAAAGGGGGGGGGGGAGGCGGAGATTGACATGGGAGTCCATCCAGCACGAAGTGGAATCATTTATGCCACGTGTGATGCACACTTCCTCTACCATTGAAACGAAATGGTGAACTCACGGTACGACCACGTGTGTTCGGTTGCCTGCCATCGCCCACCACGATACAAGCTTCGGCTACAAGTACGGTTGGTGTTTTTTCATTTCTCTCACGAAGGCTAATCAACAACGGTAGTTTGATTCTCGATATGCATACGACAATGCGAGTGTTGTCTTGTCTCGTCCACGTCAGCGCCTCACCACTGGACCCACACCTGCAAAACACTCGTGTTTTCAGACGACCACATGAAACCTTCTCCAGCATGACTCAACGGGGTCATCAAAAACCTGTCCTACGAGTTCCACAAGAGGTACCTAGCTGTTGCGTACTGCCCGTCCGCGTTCGAGAAAGTGCTGGTGAATCCTCGCCTAAACAACGCGGCCTCACCTGTTCGACCTCTACGTCATTCGCAACTTTGCCCGTGTCACTCACGCCACGCTTCAAATACCTGGGGGAAAGTACAGAGGCACCAAGCGTCTTGGATGGATTATGATGTGGTGATGTGGTGATGCACACGGAATATGTCTGCTTATTTGTCTACGATCAGGAAAAGCCATAAACAACACACAGAAAGAGGTCAGCAGGCAAACGGTTGCGTTCATGGCTGTTCACGACGAAACAACACCTGGAATCGTACATACTTCTACACGACAATGCATCGGGGTACGCCAAGAAAGAGAAGGTGGCAAAAACGGACGAAGCTTCGACTTAACACTCTCCCACCCGACTTATTTTTTTCTCCAGTGCAGTCCGGTGTCTACACTATAAGACGCATAGAGTATTTCGCACACCTTGCGCAAAGCAGCGGCGGAATACACCACCAAAACGGGGGGTGCAACAACAAGGCTTTGGACAGCCTAACCCATACAGAGCTGAACTTGCGACTAGTTGGTACTCAATCAGAGAAATAATGTGCAGCTGCACGTACCGTGTTCCTGCGAAATGCCTGGAGCGGCGAGCGATGACCGTTATGTTCAGCATGCGTCCAGACAGGTCGCACTTGCGCTGTAGGAAAGCTCCGTGTACGATGGGAATAACCCAAAAGGACGAGTTCAGGTGTCCAACCTGCGCCTCGAGCTCTCGGGTCTGGTGAAAGTTCCAAGCGTACATGTCCTGGGGGTGCATGTCGAAAGGGACATGGGTGTCCATTTCTAGGGGTTAGGCTCTAAGGTGGGAAACCTGATGCCTAAACACCACCACACCGGGAGCCAGCCACGCGTATCCAACGAAATATATACAAAGAACAAAGGGAGCTCTAACTTTTGGTTGCGTACCTTGAACGGCGGAGGGGGGAACGTTTTGCTCGTCGCCGCCGTCATGTTGTGCTGCAAGGAGTTGGTGAGGTCGTAGGTGTAGGAGTAGAAGAAGTCCTTCGTCAAGTCGATGAACTGAAACAGGCCCAGATACTTTGCCTCCGCTGTTTCCCTGTTCCGGTGAGCGTTACAGAATTCAAGGCGAAGGCGGCACAAGCGAACGCACTTACAAACCAAGCAACCAAGGCAAAATTACCCGAAAAAACGGAAGGATTGTCGTTCTACAACTCCTTCCTAAACAATCAAGGAGCACAGGATTCGCTCGCAACGTTCGAGCATTGCATAGTCAGAAGTCAAGCTAAAACAACACGTCATTGGTGGATCACTACTAACTACACTGAACGCCTAGGGTGGAAATATTATACATCCTCGCAAAGAGCTTCTCTTCAATTACAAGTCTGGTCGTATCCTGCAAAAATTGAGAGTGTAATACATGGGCATTGCGTGCGTCTCATCGGCCTTTTACAAACCTTTTGGTCATTAGGGGGTGCGCGGGTCTGCGCAGAGAAAACATGATCGTTTTCCCACAACTGGGGTTGCTTATAACAGTGGGGGGCCTCAGTAGTGCCATTGTGCCCGCCGAAAACACCGGCACAATACTGAGTGACCGGGACTACACCCAGATAAGACTAGGTGACCGGGACTAAACCCAGAATCGGGAGTGCAAGTTAGGGAGGGCTCTGGCTGCTCCTTGAGCTATACATGGCTATAGTTGACTGGGCCATGCGTAACCGACATACGGTGCTATTCTGTTGCGAAAGTGAAATCAATCTGCTTGTGAAGGGTCGATCTGCCCTTGGTAGGGTGACCAAGTGTTGAACACCGATGTCTCCCACCTCTGGGTGGGGTGAAGCCGCCGGTTGACCTTCGCCAAGGTGCTGACGAACGCATTGGAGTCATTGCCGTGTGCTGCGGTAGAGCTGAGTGCCCCAGATGCAGTGTCGGCAGGTTTGATAGCAAACATCTCCGTGGCTTTGATGGCATATACCAAGTTTCCCCCGATCGCACCTACCTGCGCCAGGGAAGTTAAAGTGCCGTTCCGACAGCAGGTGAGGAGCCAATACTGGCGTCAATGACACGTCAAACGCAGACGAAAGGTTGACACAAAACACTACAGTCTCGCTGCAACCCCTAACTGTTTCTTTGTTGCTTTTCTGCTCACCAGCCTGCGTTGCGTGATGAAGTTGAGGTAGTAGCAATCGAGGAACCTGACGAATCCTACGATGCCATAACCCTTGGCAGTCATGCTGAGCCCTCCAACGGTTCGGTTTCCCTCGTGGATCATGTCCAACATTTCGATCATGTCGATTGGAGTGTACACGACCGGATCCTCCTGGCAAATGTCTGCCAGGGATGTTGGATTTACCACTCGACGGTCGAGCTTGAGCACTCTGTCGGCACCGAAGACCATGGCGGTGGTGCGGTTGAGACAGAAGTGCGAGGTTGTACAATGTACGTATCAGATGTATACAGTGCGGGCTCAGACGTAAGCGCCCACGTCTGTGTATGAAAGCGAGGAGGAACTGGAGACATGCCAAGAGACACCATCCGCTGACTACACAAGCAGCCTTATGCATATGGCGCAAATACACGTGTCCGAGCGAATGCGCCACCCTCCTCAACGCTAGCAAGCGTCGCATGTTGACTGCACGATTGTTGAAGAACTCGTCTCCACATCAAAGATGCAGACAAGTTGGCCACACTGCTGTCGATCGTACGCATCGGTTGTCCCACAGAATGAATAGGTGTACAGACACGAACACACAGCAAAGCCTGCCATAGCTCTCTAGGTTTGTGGGCGTTAACACTCGCAAATATTTCCATGTGTTTACCGGAAAGAATTGTAGTAGTCTACACATAAAATAGGAAAGCATACCTGTAGGTGGTTTCGGACCGGTCACTAGCAGTCAGGTACAGGTGACTCGATGTCTCGTACAAGACGAACCTTTGCGATGTTAAAGAAATCATATCGCAGTACAGAGACAGAGAGACCCACGCAACGGAGAGAGGTTAAAGAAATCAGATCGCAGTACAGAGACAGAGAGACCCACGCAACGGAGAGAGAGAGAGAGAGAGAGAGAGAGAGAGAGAGAGAGAGAGAGAGAGAGAGAGATGAGAGAGACGAGAGAGACGAGAGCGAAACGCGGCGAAACTAAAGTGAACATGTCAACGTCCACGTGCCAATGTCCAATTTCCGGAGCGAGGATGAGATGGCGTTTTGCGCCGCCGTACTACTGCTGAAAAGACTACCTCACCGTTCGAGCTTGCTGACAACAGGTTCCAGTGTGGCCTTTGCAGCGGGTTGCTTGCGCGGTTCCCTCATCTTGATAAGTATGCATAAGGAGATAAGGAGAGAAGTGTGAATGAGTGCACCAGAGGCAGGGTAGGGAGACGGAGAGACAGCCTGACGGGACTGTCGGGTAAAAGAGGCTCCGTAGTTGCATGAGCGAAAGAGACCCCGGCGGACACGTACATGTTGCACTTGCATCAGATCAGCCATATGAGGCATGTGTCGGTGTGCATGTGTGTGTTCGTCCCATCTAGTCTGGCGCCAGTCTACTGTACACACGTTTCGATAATTACAGTATGTTTTTGACTATTATAATCAACGGAGGTCGCACAGTTTTTTGTATTGTTTTTCCTTCGGCAGTGTATTTAGTCTAGATTTTCTCCTATGCATACGCATACTACACGAGCTTGAAGTGGCTCACACCTGGGGACCTAGGGGTAGCTATTTCTTCCAAATACTTCCAGGGTCGCTTCCGAGGTGTTGGGAGATTTCGTTTATTTTTGCCTTGGAATCGCTTCGCCAAGTTCCTCAATTTGGACACACATCATTACAGACTCTTTTCTAAGATAGAGATGGTTTCGTTGTGTCATATTAAGAAAAAACAAAAAAAAGGGGGTGATGTTACCCGATTCGCAGGGTATCTGTCGATTGACTTTTACCAGAATCGGTACACCTTCTTCGCAGTGAAAAGTCGCCACTTATATTCGCACCCACACCATTCTTTTGCGCAACTCGTCAACCGTGAAGTCGAAAAGGGTAAACCCAGTGACAGATACATACGTATCGTGCATAATCCCTTTTTAGTCTCTTGGGATCCTCGTTTTGCCTCTGACTAATCCAACGTGTAGGATGACAACAACATGCTCGGGATTTGGTCGGGTTCGGATCTAGAATAAAAATGTCGAACTTGAGCCAAACACCGTCATCGCCGTAATGTCGCCATGCCCATCGCAGGAACCTTCGTGGATTCAAGACTTGTTGTCAGGCCGCAGGGCGCAACATCCAGAAACTATACGTACTACTGCTGTTGAATCATGTTGCGGGTGTTGAATCAACCTTTTGCAAAACGACCCTCCACCTCGTGTCCAAGGATTGTTCACCCCTTCCCACTCGCGGCCTCTAATGAGCAACGAAATGTATTCATCCCACTCGATCTTATAGCTAGCATCAACGACATCACGAAAGATTCACACAGAAGACTTCGATGCAAGGCAATCCGGCGGCTCCGACGGGGTTCAAGCATCCGAAAGGTCTGAACAAATATGAGTAAACAAAGTACGTAGGAGATCCTACATCAAAATTCGGGGGATTCACACTTAATCTATGCATGAAAGAGAAGAGAACAAACGAAAATGATTACGTCCTTCATTTTCGAGCTTTTGTCGTCGTCTACATCAGCGCAACCCCCCGTCCGACCAAACCCCTCGGCATGGCATATTCCACACTCGAAAGCAGACTGGACTGTATGACGAACACATTATTTTCGACTCCGCCTCGCTTCATGTTCTTTGGGAAACATATGACAGACGCCGAAGTTGGTTGTGTTCGGCTGAAGTGCTACATGGAATACCCATCTATCTCGCACAGACGGTGGTGTGCTCCGTGGAGCAAAAAAAGGCTTCATCACCCGCCGTAAGGTAGTTGTTCATCTCGCCTAACGTGTACGGCAGGAGAGGCAATTCGATCAACATGGCTACCTCCGGGTAGTTTACGCATCGTCCAAAGCCGCAATACCCGGCAATTCCTTGCCCTCAAGAAGCTCCAAGCTAGCGCCTCCGCCAGTCGAAATATGGCTGATCTGGCTCGCAACGCCAGCTTTCTCGACTGCAGCAACACAGTCACCACCCCCAACTATGGTGATACCGCCTTCAGCGGTGCGGGTGGCCAACGCCTTGGCAAGCTCGTTGGTGCCATTCGCAAACGCATCCCACTCGAAAACTCCGAGAGGTCCGTTCCAGACGATCGTGTTCGCTTGCGAAATCTCCTGTTTGAACTCATCCACAGCCGACGTGCCGATGTCAAGGCCCATCCAACCGTCAGGGATGTCCTTCGCGTCAACCTGACAACGATGGACAAAAATTAACGTCAACACGACGTGCACACAGTGTCCAAGATTTTGTGCTTGACGTGGTCGAGCATTCGATCTTGCATATGATACAACAATTATATCATACAGCGTATTCCTGCCTGCCTATTCACATTCTCGGCCTTCATTTGTGCTATACCTATAGGATAACCAACAATAAAACACTAACAACCCAAGACTCTTCCAAGCCCAAGTACGCGTACAATGCAAAGCAGTCGCCAGGCGACGCAAACTTGCTCACCAGCTGCGAGGCTGCATCGCTCGCAAACTTGTCAGCAACGACCACGTCTTTGGGTAGCAAGAACTTCACCCCCTTCGCCTCCGCCTTCTTCATCAAGTCTCGCGCCATGTCGACGAAATCTTCCTCGACCAAGGAAGCACCAGTCGACATTCCAAGAGCGCGATAAAAGGTGAAGATCATGCCGCCGCCAAGCAAAATGCTGTCGCATTTGTCCAGCAACGACTCCAGGACGGGAATCTGCACCATCACGACGGAGGATTCACGTCACACCATCAACGCAGTACTGCATCGAAAAAATGTGCCTTACAGCCAAAAATACAATGGCAAACTGTTTTGGACAAGAAAAATAATTGAAAACGTGCGTCCATCGGTCGACACAAATTGGAATGCTGATGATTCTTGTACAGGAATTCTTCCAGCGAGAGCAAAGGCCCATCACGCCTCCTGTTTGTGATATGCCTCTGCAGCCGGTACTCAAATCTGCCTCCCATTCCATATGTTCTCTCGGATCAACATGCTTGTTTGGAATTATTGGCCGCTACTCAAATCTGCATGCCCATGCTCACGGGTGGCATATAGTCGTATATCCGCCAGTGGCATCCCGACATCCCGACTTCCAAATGGTGTCGGAGGTGCCAAGGATCATCTCTTCCTGCGCTCTTGTATTCGCACATACAGCAGTATGGAACGATTCTTCCTTGGCCCCGATCGAACCATTATTATCTTGGCCCCTCTACTTGCCTAAGAACACCTGCCTGCCCTCTGTAGAGGGATAAAGATACCGCAGCCATGGGACCCTTCAAAAACGTAATCTACGGAAGGAACTTATCTCCTCATCTTCATTTCGGGAATGACAATAGATTTTCCTCATCTGGAATACTACCGCACCTTCGTGGAGACCTTGGCGCCGCCGATCATGGCGAGGAACGGCCGGGAGGGGCTGTCCATGGCGCCCTTGAGGTAGTCCAGTTCCTTCTCCATCAGGAACCCTGCCACGCTGTGGTCCATGTACTTGGTCACACCGACCGTCGAGGCATGAGAACGATGAGCAGCTCCGAAAGCATCGTTCACGAAGATTTTTGCGTGAGCGGCCAACTGCACATAAATGGGAGCACACCCGACGGCGTCAAACATGAAGGATTTGTTAGTTTGATACACGTATCGCTGCACGGATGCGTCGTAAGACCTGAAACGTGTGCCAGAACGAGGTCGATTGCGCTCACACGGTTTGGCTTGGCACAAATGCAAGACACAAGACGGTGCTACCCTTTCATTTTTCTGCTAGACTCACCTTTTCAGCAAAATCAGGGTCATTTTTCGTCTCCCCCTTGTGGAAGCGGACGTTCTCCAGCAACACAACGCATTCCGCCTTCGATGCCTGTCGAAAGATAAGCATGTTAACATGTCAAGCACACAAAATACTGGCATTGACAAGCATGCTTGCCACGAGGCACAGAAGTAGCTCTCTCGTTGGTGTTCCTTAATTTGCAGCAAATAAACATATGGACATACCCATGCGAACAGCTGCATGCAGTCTTGCACTTCGTACAAAACACGAGACTGCGACAAGATCAAGGCCGGGGACACTGGGCGGTATGTACATGCTCAAAGATAGACTCAATACCTGCTCCTCGACTTTGTCACCAATGCAGTCAGTGGGGCACGCGACCGGTTCGTCCAGCAGTTCTCCAAGGCACCCTCCGATGTTGCCGATCCTCATAGACTCGACCACTTCGCCCTTCGGTCGACCGGCGTGAGTGCACAGGACCACCTAAACGTCGTTGTTGCAGAGTTTCCAGGGAAAAACGCTCATCTTTTTGCGACGACGAAGCCTACAATTATGAGCCGCGGAGCGCGAAGCGCGACCTTTGTTCTTTCACCCCAGGAGGGAAATAAAGGATCTATGTGTCAGTCTGTTCCAACGCGATGCAGGGCCCCAAGTTTGATTTCCGCCTAATTTCTGGGCGACCGAATATGCCCTCCTTTTCGACCAGAACGAGGTCTAAAGATCACCGATTTACGATCTGCTGGCGTCTCTATGGAGGGAGAAGAATAGGGCACTCTTCGTCACACCGGTTTGGTCGTGCTCCAACAACAGATGGCCGTGCTACAGAGGCAATTGTGCCCAAAATTCGTAGGAGATACCTTACCCCATCCTCTGCAGTTGCCGAGGAGGCCGCATTATAAAAGCGGAGATCTCAAGCGCGTGCGATTCAAACCAGGGAAGAAACAGAGGTAGCACACCGCTGACAAGTCTCGCACACCCACAGCATCACACCCACCCGCCGTGGTCCAACCCCTTCCATAGGTAAAAGCACAGAAGCAAACAACAGACCTGGTGCCCGCTCTCTGGCTAAACAATAGGGAGAGTCTTGGCGGTTCTATTTGCCGTCGGAAAAATCGATGGGTGAAAACAGGATAGATTGAGGTCTTCTTGCCCACAGCAGCAACAACAACAGCGGAGAGCGAAGTTGAGGCGATTGGCGTTGTTGCCGCAATCGCCATGTGGGACTCAGAACGATGTAGGGATGACGTATTTCGGTGGACAACAATAGGGCGGGGGATAAGGGAAGCAAACAAATGACGCCGCCTCCAGCAAGCGAAACAGAGAGAGACTGAGGTGTTGACAAACGGTCCATGCGAGAGAACGAGCTGGCTGTGTCGGAACTGCGGTGCTCCTACCACTCTCCACTTGCTTTCCACACCGCACTGCCCGATGGGTTCTATCAAGTGTATCTAACCCTCTCGTTCATTGTTTGCCGGCAGCAGTGCAGTTAGGTGACGACCATTTGGCGGTACTGCTGTATGTTGCATCGCGTGTGTCACGCGTGTGTGTGTTCGTCCGCAGTTCGTCCGTCATTTGACACCAGCGGGGAGCGGATGCCCAACATCTTGAAGGTCCGCTCAATATTTCCGGATGCGGACAATGTATTTGTATGAAGTGCGGAAGTCTCCATCACACACAGCATCGCAGATACAGACTACTACAGGTATTGCGCCGACCCCGCGGCCCATTACTCCTCCAAATATCTAGTCACATAGACTGCTTGTAGTAGATACAAGAGCGAATTGTTTGGGTTGAAAAAAAAGCCTCAGTGGTCGAGCCTAAGGACGCCGCTATCGGGTCAGTGGAGGTGCCTGCAGCAGCGCATCCTCCATTCCCTGCACGTTCCATATTGTTCGTGTTTGGCCACACGGTAGTGTTCCTCGCACACAGACATGTGTCGCGTGTTGTTCCACTAACCGACGGACCAATGAGGAGACGTCAGCTAGGAGTGAGGAAAACAATGCCGTTCTCCTCCGCTACGTGCTGTTGTGTACGATATCTCCACTATCCTGTCCATGCCATGCTGTCGCAGTCTGTTGCCCGGAAAACAGCTAGAACACAACAACAGGTGAAGCGATTTTCGACAGAGAAGTCAAACTTCGACGGGAAAACACGAAACACTTGATTTCTACTGTAAAATTCCGCGCAAGTGGCACTTGGTCGAATATTTATTTGCTCCTTCAGCCGCGGTGCACAATTTGAGGAACCCTATACGTCTCGAAAGCATCACACCTATGCATACCTTGGCTCCTTCCTTGAGAAGAAACTTCACCGTCGGGACCACCTATTCGGTGAGAGAAACATAGGAAAGTGGGAGAGTTAAATGTGGGTTCACCTGCACCGAAAGTCCCTGTGGAGGAGTGATGTAGGTAGACAAGGCATGCTCGCCCACAATTGCAAATATGTAAATATGTAGCGCCAGCCGATATTTTGATATTTTGCAGGTGTCGGGCGTGACGGGGACCTTGTGGAACGGAAAACAACGTACTCGTGTTGTCGTGTAACGTATGACAAGGGTCGTGCGACGGCCAGATCCAGACACGGCCAAGTCATGACGCGTGGCTGAAGCCCGGACATGTGATCGAGGTTGTGGGATACTGCTGTACACCTCGATCATCAGTTACCTAGAAGTACGAGGCACGTTTCCAAAAATCTCGAAGCTCGATATACCGCCGTAGTCTACCCAATGGCGGATACTTGTATCTGTGGAAATCTTTCAGCTAATTGCCAACGCCACCTTCTGTAACGCACAGTGACACAAGAGTTACTTACACATGTCACTGTGAGAGGTACAGCAGAGACCGACCTTGAAACTTGAAACATCGTCACGCTCTGTTGTCATCTCACGTGTAGCTCAATCATGCACAACATGCTTGTGACCGAGGGACCCGAACAACCTAATGCACTTGCATGAAATATTTTGCAAAACACGTACGTACAACATATATACACTTCGTTCTGCTCACCGCGCGTGCTCTCGTATCATCGGTGATGCTTCCATCCTCCTTACTCCGAGGTAGGTTGAGATCCGCTCGGACCAAGACAGGCTTTCCGCGGAGAGACACCTCCTTCGCAAGGTCCTGGATAGTCTTTTTCTTCTTGACGCTGAATGAGCGCGAACAGGTCACAACGCCCTGGGCAGCCCAACGACGAGATAACACTGTAGCTGAACGGAACATGATGCGAGAGTATAATTGCACACCCGGTGCTTGTGGTGTGTGCAAAGTGCGAAGGAGGCTGTGCAAGTGTGTTGCGTGTGACACACGTCGAGGTACGTCACCCGGGGGCTTTTTTTGTCAAATGCGAGGGGGTCGATGTACATGTACGAGCCGCTGACCCCCGCATGCACACAGCCGTCCCAACAGCCCAATTGACGACACACACTGGCCACAGCACCACAACCGCACACGCTGAGGAATGCATCGAGTCGCGCTGAATCACGGAAGGGTTTTGACTGCTGCTGGCAAAACAAATGCCGCCAGAGGATGGTCAGTACTCTCACGCCACGGCACCTGGCGAGCCCTGTCTGACACCAGTGTCAGCGGTGGAGGCTCGGGAGAGAGCTCTGGGCAAGAAGGTGGCGCAAGGGGAAGGCAGAAAGGAGTAGGAGGTGCAGGAGGGGCCACGCAGCCCGCGGGCCGGGGCCGTGGAGCATTTAGCCAGTTCCTGAGGACACACGAGGTGATGTATTGCGGCTGTACTCATTGATGAGGTTTGCGATGATTCTACTTTACTTTGTCAGACCGCCACTCATGATGCTGCGAGCCGTGCACACACACCGAGACGTTGGTGGATGTCTACAGCAGCGCGGAACCAATGCAACAATGAACCGAATCGTTACACCTGGACTGGCTGCTAACGTTGGCGCAGCCAGTCGGGTAGAGGAAGATGAGGCAGGTGTACACAAAAACATTGAAGTGGCAGTTACTAAGGTAAGAAGCTGGCATGTATCTATTGTATCTACGGAGTACCGAGCAAGAACTTCATTGTGCCGCTTCTTCTTGCCTCCAACGATCGAACAAGCACAGCAGTAGCGCAGCTTAGGGTCGTGGTATGAGTGTTCATCGTGGAAAAAGCATCGGTGATGACCGCCCAAGTTGTTACTCCACAATTGCTTTTTTAGGAAATATGCTTGTAATCACAGCGTTTCGTAAAGCAACGCATTGCTCTGCCTTAATCGGTGCATGGCCTATGCGCTTAGGTCGGGCGTCGCACAGCGCGTTTTACCTGTGATATGGGGTGACATAAATATTTAGTGCTGGGACACCACAGTCGGACCTCGGTTTGGGTTTGGCTACGCATATTGCTGGTTAACCCTGCTAGTGCCCAGTCCCTCCGCAAAAAAAACGTTGCAAGAATGTTTGTCAGCCATTGGTCGAGGGTTACAGTCCGTCCAAAGAATCTGAGCTCCTTGCCAGCTCCTTGCCAGCCTTGCCAGCTTGCCACACAAAGGGTGACTTGGCTTCAGTATGAAAAGTGTCCCCAAAACACGTGGGGACACTTTTCACGTGGGGACACTTTTCTATACTGAAGCCGAGTCAGTATTTTTTCCAGTACCAGGCAATGTACAGTTTTACGACCTAGGGTACACGCGGCTTGGGAGATGGTGTACAGCAAGCCAGAGGCCGAGGAGAGGCATCACACCGCACATCACACAGCGTACCACCTCAGCCAAGCATGATAGACCAAATGTTCTCACGTGCGTTTCACACAGCGGACCCTAGGTATTTGAGTGCTGTGTCCCCAAAGAGTGTCCCCAATTGGGCTTCCAGTACTATTAATAGGAGGGTTGAGGACACGTCCTCTATCGAGGACCAGGCAGGACACTATTCACGAACCAGGGACCAGGGGACACCTTCGTAGAGGCCCCGCAGACCAGCAGTGATAAGGTGTACGGCACTCCCTTTTTTCGCTGTGCTGGACAACACCATATACAACACCTCGAGAGAGCGGGCTGCTACTAGTGTGTGGGCACAGATTCCTGTCGCCTACGGGCTGCGCGTCTGCGTCCAGCATAACGGTATGTGGAGAACAAATATGGGCGATGAACGCTGTACGTCAATTTCATCACAGCAGTAGTGCACCAGTGCTCAAACGCGGGGCGATGTATTTTTCTTGAAGTACTAGATGTACGTAACAGTTTGTTACCGTAGTCGATGCATCCGAGAGAGCACACAGATTGTCAAGAACACGCGCACACGTTGGAAGAACAGGCAGCATTGGGAATAGAGGCATTGAACAGGGTCTCTCCAATGTAGAAGTTATAACGCTGCGAGCGTCTAAGACGAAGACGGTGTCACGCCGGAGTCGTGCATTACATCTTCGCTGTCCGGGTCCCACTCCCGTGAAGAGAAACTTAGCTCCCTTTTGCACGCGAACGGAACGGATGACGATCACAGCGATCCGCGCTGTCTGCTTTTGAAAGTTGTTGCGGTCGTTTACTGACGAATCTCAACTATAGCTTGCAGCGAAGGACGGGGGCGGGTTTGTGCACTGCAGGCAGATCAGCTATTCGCAATGTATGGACGATTAAGTAGTGTGATGCGGTGCTGCCGTGGCTTAGGCAACGTTTTGCCTGGTCTGCACTGCAGCCCTGTAGCACTACCCCACTGCTGTCCGCTAGTCCTGTACGGTCGATAGCATCCCTCTACAACATACCGTGCACTAATTTAAGGTCGTGGTTCAACAATGTACAGTGTTGAGCAAAAACTAAAACTTCTACGCAGCAGTATTATCGCAAAACCACGGATCAACTCGTCGCCCTGTCAACGCATTTGTATGCTGTTCGTTGATGGTCTTGCCTCCGCTGCCCCTGGGGATGGCGATTTGTCCCCGCCTGAATCTTGAACACACTTTCCTCCATCAATGGCACATTTATAAATCAAGAAAAAGGTGTGTCCTAAACCGAGGTTCGACTGTACCAGTACAAGTACATTGAAAAGTTTAATTTCCCGCTTAACGCATAAGAACGTGTTACTTTAAGTGTAGAACTGTGCTCAACGCATAAGAACGTTTCACTAGAACTGGCTTGTACATACTCGAATCCGACAGTAGATGGAAATACACTACAAGGGTTTGTAGCATCGGAACATCGTACAGGAGCATATGGTATTAGAAAAGGGTTTGCTTGGTAACGGTTTATTAGGTGGACACATTTTCGGCGGCAACGCCACTCGGTGGTAGTTTTTTTGGCGGTAGACGTAATATGCGTGTTTTGGCAGAACCGACTTGGGCGGAGGCGGTTAACACCACAAAACGGCGTTAAATCGGCGGTACCGGAAGTTTCACGGCGGCGAAATTACCGAGTTTGTCCTTGGTGTTTAACTCACAGAAAGATTCGGGGATGCTCGCAACTGTTGTATGCCATACAAAATCCTGGTATAAACCCTCTTTTACCGTCATGTTACTTGTTGGGTTAATTTTTTTATCATACCTCGGGTACTGTTCCGTCGGATCCTAGAACTCGGAAGTCTTACACAACTCACAGAAGTATCGGATAGGTTGTTTGGAAAACACGACTCACGGAAGGATCTTTAGGGATTGTGAAATGTCACAGAACTCACATCAGTGTCGGGTATGGATAAAATTTCCCTCCCGCATGCTTCTACACGTGCCCTACAGATCATACTCTTTGAAATTCAAGACATGCACTATTTGAGAAAACGAGTTGTCCTTTGTTGAAAAACAAGTAAATATACTTTGGACCAAGCAAACCACGCGTGAGTGAGGGGGGGGTCCGGGG